AACATAATGTTCTTCATGTAATTGTAGATTAATGATACCAAAATAAAAAAAATAAAAAATAAAAACATCTTTTTAAGATCTGGTCATTCAGGTTCTACAAAGAATGCTCTTTCAAGAGGCCAGAGCAAAAATTACAAAGGGGACTTTCCTTTACTGTCAAGAAAAACCACTGCCTAAATAAATGTTGAAATTTTCTTTGAAAATAGCTTACTTAAAAATTCTCAGATTTTTGTAAATTAATTTTCTGTGTCTTCTAAATCCAGATAAAGTTTACATTCCCACTACTTCTGACAATATATTCTTCCAATTTTACTTAATAATTCTGGAGAAGGGCATTCAGTTCAAATATATAATTCCATTTAGCAATGACGTCCAACACAGCCCAATTGCAAATAAAGACATATTAAATATCCCAAGATTAATAGGTCCCAGAAGATCTTTGGTTAATCAAAAACAGAATGAACTTTAATTCTGTGCATTATTCATTCATAAAAATATTATCCGGGAGCAAATGTATTTTTGTCAATGGTATAATATACATAAGTGCAGAGTAAATATTATTCTTTTTCTGTATATATCCTAATATTTACAGATTTTTGCTCTTGACTGTTATACACTTTTAAACAATATTTCAGACGTAGAATAGTCAACTCAACTTTTAACTCAATAAGAAAATGAACAAACCATTTAAAAGATGGACTAAAGACCTAAACAAACACTTCACCAAGGAAGATGGATAGAGAGTAAACAGGCATATGAGAAGATATTCTACATCATACATCATCAGACATGCAAATTAAAGCAATGAGATACTCACACAACTACTAGAGTGGTCTAAATCTGGAAGACTGTCAATACCAAATGATGGTGAAGAGGTGGAGCAACAGGAACTCTCAATTCAGTGCTGGAGGGAATGAAAATGGTACAGCCTCTTTGGAAAACAGTTTGGCAGTTTCTTACAAAACTAAACCAACTCTTACCATACAATCCAGCCACTGCAAACCTAGATATTTACCCAAAGGAGTTGAAAACTCACATCTACACAAAATGTGCATAAGACATTTATAGGAGCTTTGTTTCATAATAGCCAAAATGTGGGAGCAATCAAGGGGTCTGTCAGTAGGTGAATGGATAAACAAACTGTGATACATCCAGACAATGTAATATTTATTATTCAGCACTGAAAAGAAATAAGTTGTTGAGGCATGAAAAGACAGAGGAAATTATATGTATATAAATTTATATATAAAATTAAATTGAAGAAGCAAGTCTAAAAAGGCTACATATTATACGACTCCAATCATATTACATTCTGGAAAAGGTAAAACTATGGAGAGAGCAAAGAGATCAGTGATCTTTTGGGGAAGGGGAGAATGAATAGGTGGAGCACAGAGAATTTTTAGGGTAGTGAAACTATTCTGCATTATAATAACAATGGTGGACGTCATTATACAATTGTATACATACATACAAACCCATGTGAACACCAACATGAATGTACAACACTAAGAATAAACCCTAATCTAAACTACCATCATACCTCACTTTATTGCATTTTGCTGATAATGTGTTTTTCACAGATTGAAGGTTTGTGGAAACCCTGCATCAAACATGTCAATCGGTGACATTTTTCCAATAGCATTTCCTCACTTTGTGTCTCTGTATCACATTTTGGTAGTTCTCGTAAAATTTCAAACCTCTTTGTCATTATTATATTTGTCATGGTGATCTGTGATCAGTGATCTTTGATGTTACTATTATAATAGTTTTGGGGTGCCATGAACCATGCCCATGTAAGACAGCAAAGTTAAAAAATGTGTGTGTTCTAATGGACAGTGACTGCACTGGGGTATGGGTGGGGACTTGATAATATGGGTAAATGTAGTAACCACATTGTTTTTTTCATGTGAAACCTTCATAAGAGTGTATATCAATAATACTTTAATAAAAAAAGGGGGGGGAAATAATTAATTAACTTAATTTGATTTTAAAAATAAAATAAATATATGTGTGTGTGTTCCAGCTATTCCACCAATTGGTTGTTCCCAGTCTCTCTCCCTCTCTTTGGACATCCCTATTCCCTGAGACACAACAATATTGAAATCAGGCCAATCAATCATGCTACAAGGGCCTCTAAGTATTCAGAGGAAAGGAAGAGTCCCCTGTCTATCACTTTAAATCAAAAGCTAGAAATGATTAAGCCTCATGAGGAAAGCAAGTTGAAAGCTGAGACAGGCTGAAAATGAGGCCTCTTGTGCCAAACAGTTAGCCAAGTTGGGAATGCAAAGGAAAAGTTCTTGAAGGAAATTAAAAGTGCTACTCCAGTGAACACATGCATGATAAGAAAGCAAAACAGCCTCATTGCTGATATGGAGAAAGTTACAGTGATCTGGATAGAAAATGAAACCAGCTACAACATAGCCTTAAGCCAAAGCATCATCCAGAGCAAGTTCTTACCTCTCTTCAATTCTATGAAGGCTGAGAGAGGTGAGAAAACTGCAGAAGAAAAGTGTGAAGCTAGCAAATGTTGATTTGTGAGGTTTAAGGAAAGATGCTGTCTTCACAACATTAAATCACAAGGTGAGCAACAAGTGCTTATATAGAAGCTGCTGCAAAGTTATCCAGAAAATCGAGCTAAGATCATTAGTGAAGGTGGCTACCCTAAACAACAGATTTTCAGTGTAGACAAAATACCCTTCTATTGGAATAAGATGCCATCGAAAACTTTTACAGATAACAAGGAGAAATCAATGCCTGGCTTCAAAGTTTCAAAGGACAGGTCAACTCTCCTGTTAGGGGCTAATGCACCTGGTGACTTTAAGTTGAGGGCAGTGCTCATCTATCATGATGAAAAGCTTAGGGCCCTTAAGAATTTTGCTACATCCACTCTGCCTGTGCTCTGCAAATGCAAGAAGAAAGCCTGGATGACAGTACATCTCTTTACATCATGGTTTACTGGATATTTTAAGCCCACTGTTGAGACCTACTGTTCATAAAAGAAGAATCCTTTCAAAATATTACTGCTCTGTGACTATGCATCTGGTCACCCAAGAGCTCTGACAGAGATGTACAGTGGCATGAATGCTGTTTTCATGCCTCTAACACAACATCCATTCTGCAGCCCATGAATCAAGGAATCATTTCAACTATGAAGTCTTCGGGTTTAAGAATACATTTTGTAAGTCTATAGTTGTCACAGACAGTGATTCCTCTCATAGATCTGGGCAAAGTAAATTGAAAATCTTTTGTAAAGGTTCACCATTCTAGATGTCATCAAGAACATTCATGACTCAAGGGTAGAGGTCAAAACATCTAGAGTGACAACTTTGGAACAAGTTGATTTCAACCTTCATGGATGACTGAGGAATTCAAGGCTTCACTGGAGGAAACAAATGCAGATGGTAGAAATAGCAAAAAAACTAGAACTGGAAGTGGAGCTAAAAATTACTGAACTGCTGCAATCTCATTATAAAACTTGAATGATAAGTCCCTTCTCATGATGAGCAAAGAATTTTCTTGAGATGAAATCTACTGCTGGTGAAGATGCTTTAAAGACTGTTGAAATGACAAAAAAAAGAATATTACATAAAGTTAGTTGATACAGGAGTGGCAGGGTTTGAGAGGACTGACTCCAATTTTGAAAGAAGTTCTCCTGTGGATAAAACGCTATCAAATATCATTACCTTCTACAGAGAAATAATTTGCCAAAGAGCCCATCAGTGTAACAAACTTGACTATTGTCTTAAAGAAATTGCCACAGCCACCCCACACTTCAACCACCACCACCCTGAACACACAGCAGCCAACATCAGGCAAGACCCTCTGCCAGCAAAAAGATTATGACTCACTGAAAGCTCAGATGATGGTTATTAGAAGCCTTTAGCAATAAAGTACTTTAAATCAGGGTATGTACATCTTTTAGACATAATGCTATTGCACACTTGATAGGCTACAGTATATTGTAAACATAAATTTTATATGCACTGGGAAAGCAAAAAGTTCATTTGACTCACTTTATGGTGAGAGTCACTTTATTGCACTGGTCTGGATTCAGCACTATCTCCCAGGAATGCCTATAATGACTCCACGGGATAACACTGTGTCAATATAGACTCATGAGTTGTAACAAACATATCAATCTAGTGCAGAATGATGATAAAGGGAGAGGCCATGCATATATGGGGGTGGGGCTACCTGGGAAATCTGTAATTTCTGCTCAATTCTTCTATGAACCTAAAACTTTTGTAAAATGTAAAAATTATTTATTTAAAAACATTCCAGAGGACCATTCAATGGAAAGATACAAAGCTGATCTAAGGCCACAGTGTCCTCTTTTCAGATCTAACATGGACTCAGGTCCTACTGCTGCATATATCCTAACTATGAACCTCTTTAATGAACCTCTTTAAGGGGCATCTAATATTTCTAAGAAGAAAATAAAACATACAGTAGTTCAGTTTGACACACACACACAAAACACATTTATATATATACATATACACACATGCAGTTTATTTTATGAAAACATTTAATGTTATTTAAAGGACCCATATACCAGAGGCCCCATGTGCATCAACAGTGGAAGTCCTCTGCCACTCTAAGCGAAAACAGGTGTGCCCAACTATAACTTTGCTGACACTGAGCAGAAGGATTCCCATGAGCCTCCAAGATCTACATCCCCCATATCCTTTAAGAACAAGGATAATGCCCAACAGTTTCAAAGAATGTCAGTTTGGTGTTTGTTTATTCTTAGAGAAAACAAATGTAGAATAGCAGAGCACCAGAAAGCCATTGCCTAGTATTTGGCTGTAGGTCAAGGATGTTTTCTATATACCTCAGAGTAGATTGCAGAAAATACAGCTTAGTCTCAGGACTCTTTAAGCATGTGTTTTAGAGGAAAATATGGAACATCGTGGCTTTTCAGCATCATTACTTAGCAGAAACATGCAAAGCACTGCAAAGTAAGTTCCCCTCTTTCTTCTGTGGATGGTCTCTGACAAATTCTGCTACTCAGGGTTTTCTCTCTTACAAAGTCGATCTTTCCTTCTCTTGCCACTCCTTCCCTGTCATTCTTCAGGCATACTGGGCCATTTTCCTCTAGTGTCATTTCTCAATATTCTCATATACCCAAGGATCTATTTCTTCATACTTTCTTCCTTTATTCTCCATCTGGACTTTACATTATATAGTTTGTTCTACTGAGTTTTCTTTCTTCCTTTGACAGCCTTTTCTCTCCACCATTTTTACTGCCCTTATTCTGTGCTACACTGCAACAAACTTTCTCCTCCATATTTTTTAAACACTTAGTTCTAAAATTCATCCAAACTTCTACTAAGCATCTACTAGGTTTCAGGCAGTGTCCTATGTGTTAGGAATATAGGATGCACAAAGCCCTTTGGGATTTCAAATAGTTATAGACCAGTGTGGTAACTTCCATCTACAAAACACTATGAAAAGTAAGAGAGAGAAAATGATAATTTACAATGTATGAGTAATTTGCAAAAGGCTTCCCACAGAGAGAAAATGAACTAGGTCTCTAAGGATAAATAAAAGTTTCCCAAGAGTGGGAATAGACACTCATATGGAAAGACAAGGTATGTAGACATTTAAGCAAAGAGCACCATATGGAGGACGAGATCTGTGCCATTTGTTTATTGAGGGGTTTTTATCAAAACCCGAGGCTAGGAAAAAGGGTGCTGGATGGTGAAGAATACTGCATATCACAGGAGTTGGATCATAAAATGTAAGCAGTGGGGAACCATCTAAGAAGTTTAAGCAAAGCAGCATATGATCAGGTTAATGTTCTAGAAGTATAACTGTCAACTGTACATAAGATAGATCAGATAGGTGACACTGGGAGGCAAAGCCATTCAAATATTCTTACAATAGCTCAGGTAAAGGAAA